AAGTCTTCCCAAGACATCTTACTAGCTTCTCCCTTGAGCATCGAATCAGCTAGTAATTTCCACCAGCTCAACACACCAGACTTTAACAGAGGAATTGCAAGTGCGGTCTTTTGTTTGTTGCTGCACTCACAGCTTTCAAACATCGTCTCCATTTCGGAGATCCAGTTCATGACTTCCACCGGTGTCGGACTTCCAGATAGACATGGTGGTTTAGATGCCATGAAATCTTTATATTTGCACCCGCGTCCATCAGCTCCTCCATCCTGGTTGTTTTGTCTAACTATCGGTGGGTTGGCTTGACCAAGAGTCCCACTATAGTTCCCTCCTACTGATTGCCCTTCATTCAATACGGGCTTTTCAATAGGTATCGTAGTCTCTTCCCTATGTTGTTGTAGTAATCGCCTTGTCTCCTCCATCTGGTGATCTAACATCATCTGCATCATTGCTTGTACCCCAGCCATCGTCATTGGCTCAGGTGCAGCTCCTACAACAGGTACTTGCTCAACTACTTGAGGTTGAGGCTGTTGATCCCTGTTTCCGTTTGTATTTGCAACTCCACTACGAGTTCTTGCCATTACAATCTATATACCGAATAAGGCGAATTTAGGTCTTTATCCTTGTTAGACATTTCAATTCCCTTATCACTCCGAAACGTTTACATGTTAGTTCTAATCTCGTAATCATACGCTTAGAATCCTACACACATAAGGTTTCCAGATCCGGTCGACAACAGACCATAGATCCGAACAAATAATGGCACACATGGCAAACACATAGCATTTAGCACATAAGGGCATTTTAGGCATCTTTCCTAAAATAAACTAGTGCTCGTGTCTAAAATATGGTAGACACTCATCTCACAATCATCACTTAGCATTCTAAGTTTAAGTCTAGAAATCCTATAATTTCTTAGTTCGCTTAAACTAATGTTATGATACCAACTGTGACATCCTCTAATTTCTCGGCCAGAAAAGACCGATTTAATTTATGCTTTTTAAAATAAAATCAGAGAAATCTTTTCAAAAGATGTTGCGGAATTGGTCCCCAAACAACATATGATAAAAGTTTATCAAAACCCTTCATTAAGAAGGTATATATTTTCCATATATATCAAAACCTCGGGATGTCATGTTCCGATACAGATCAAAAGCATAAACAAGACATTATAAGCCTTACTACAGTTATTTACAACTACTGGCCTATAATCCAAAAATCTCACGTCATCCTCCGACTATGCTCGGGGTCCACTACCTGTAATCATAAAAAAACTGAGTGGGTCAAGCTTGGGAGCCTGGTGAGCATATAGGGTTTTCAACCCACAGTAATAATAAACTTATTAAATTCATCAATCAATAATAACCCTGATTACCCGTTCCCGTTATCCTCACTTTACGTCCCTAAACACTTTTCACAAGGGACCTAGCCTAAAGAATATCATCGGGATGGACACTACTGCTAAGGGGTTTCCTTAGCCATACATGTCCTAAAGGCAACCATGAGGGGGATTGGAGTACAGCGAATAAACACCCAAGTTCATTAACACCTACAGATTGCGGGCCTGCTAGTGCTTCCCACTGGACTGTCTAGAAAGTCTGTGGTCGTCATCCAAACTCCGCTAGATGACTGAATCACAAATCACAACGAGGCCTCTCATCACTTTATTTCATCACACACCAACTATCTACCCATGTTCTACCCAACATATTTGTAGATAAAAATACTTATACAGTTTAAAACTTGTATAAAACATCAACTCAACAGTCACCTCAAATAAACAATTAATATATTTACACATAACACGTATTATAAGGTAAATACTTCATATCTATGTGTAAAATGAAAGTGACTATACACTCACTTGATTTGATGAAAATCGGGCAGCAATTCGTTTCCTAAAACGTTCGTTTCTAATAAAACCGGGAGTTTTATTCAGAAACCGGGCTCTGCGAGGGTCGGGCTTCGAAACCGAAAAGATAAATTTTCCGGGCTTCACGGGCACTTCGTGGCGTATTCCGGGGCTTATAATCGATACCGGGGCTTTGGGGGATGTTAAGATGAAGAAAATATGAAGAAATGGGCTAAATATGGCAAAATCTCAAAAGTAACCGGGAGGGTTCGCATGACCCTTGTATTTATAGGGGTCCGAAGTCCTGATCTGACGGCTGAGAAGGAGCCACGCGTCGCAGATCTGAAGCTCGCAGGGGGATGGCTCGCACGAGGTCTGCGCGTGCGAAGGCTTGCTGTCCTCTCCTGATTGGACCGAGGTCAACTGGTCCGAAGTAGGGTTCTGTGGCTTCTTGCAAGGGCTTCAAACATGTGAAGGAGGACACGCGTCGGACATGCATTGGACCGCTCAGCAGCTCGGATGACTCAGCCTCATTTCCGACATGTGGCACATGCGAGGCGAGGACACGTGGCTCGCATGACTCACCAATTTCGGACACGTGGCATGATCTAAGCGAGGGTGACGTGGCAAAAACGTGACTATGCAAATTTTCTCGATTTTTGTGCAAAAACTTCTAAAATCCATAACTTACGCATACGAGCTCCGTTTTTGACGTTCTTTATATGCACGCGTAGGTAAAATTACGCTCTACAACTTTCGTTTAGACTTCGTCGGCTAATTTTGACTTTAGTTTTTATATTAGTATTTTTAACACACCGGGACAGGAAATCCGTTAAAAATTCATAACTTCTTCATCCGACGTCCGTTTTCGTCAGACTTTTTACCGTTGTGCTACTAATGACGAGACCTTCGATTCTCGTTTAGGTCGTGTCGGCTAAAAATCAATCGATCTAAAATTCGAGTTTTTAGCTGTCTACTGCTAAGCTGAAACTTCGAAAAATCATAATTTCCTCATACGAAGTCAGATTTGGGCGTTCTTTTTATGCCTACTCTCGGTTTAACGAACACTACGAGTTTCGTTTATATCACTAAGGCCAAAAAGTAGTTTATCGAAAACTCACTTTTTACGACATTCGGCTCCGTGCCGGTTTGTCGCGAAACTTCGACAGGTCATAACTTCTTCGTTATAACTCGGATTTAGGCATTCTTTATATATATGTAATCCTTGTCACGCCCACTACAAGTTTCTTAATAGATATCGGCTTTATCTAAAATTTAATTTTTGATGCTCATTTTTATTCTTAATTAATTAAACCCTAATAATTAAGCATAAAACACATAATTCACATAATATTTACATAATTTCTTTTTCATTTCTTCAAAATGAGTTACAAAGGTTAACCTAGACTATAATGTCAATATTAATGTCTAGCCTACAAACACGGGCATTACAACATGCATATCTCATTTGTTTAAATTCGGATTGACATACTGATTTTTCCAGAGTGTAGATTAGAGTTTTTACATGATTTTAGACTATAATTTTGTCAATTTTGAGTTTATAGTTAATGACTTACAACCCCCCCAAAGTCGAGATATCAAAGCCGAAAGTTTTTAGTTTTTCAGTTTTTTTTGTATTCTTTGAAAAAATTAAAACATGCATATCTAATTTGTTTGATGTCAGATTGACATGCGATTTTTTCCAACTTGTAGTTTAGAGTTTGTAATGAGTTTAGACTATAATTTAGTCATTTTTTGTTTTTCCCAACTTATAGTCCCTCGAAGTCAAGATATCAAAGTTGAAAATTTTTAACTTTTCAACTATTTCTTTTTGTACTTTGTATTTTGTGTAAAATGTTAAAACATACGTATCTTATTCATTTAAAGTCGGACTGACGTACGATTTTTTCCGTAGTGTAATTTAGAGTTTTTTACATGATTTTAGACTATAGTTTTGTCAATTTTGGGTTCATATTTGAAAACTTACAGTCCCCCGAAGTCGGGATATCGATATGAAAATTTTCAAAGTTTAACCCACTAAGCAGCAAGTAATTACCATAAAATTTCGGTTTTTCCGGGTTTTCTGGTTCTAAAACCACTTTACCCGGTTTCACCCTACCCACTTTGATGTTTCCGAATTTTGCGATTCTAAACCCACTTTACCTGACACCGTACCCGGAATCGAACGGAACCAGTTCCTATATACCGGTCCTACCAAATCCCGGTAACCGGTTACGGGTTTTCCGGTTCCAGGTCGGTCCGGACTGGGTTTGGACCCACTTTCATCCCTAAGCTGATCCCATCAACAACTAATCATATCCATTTCTATTCGCCTTTTCCAATATGATAAAATGGATACTATTTATAATTACGTTATACTACTTAGTAATAACGTATTTACTAATTCTGTTGAAAATTGAAATATTGAACTTATTTTCATTTTACAAAAGGCGATTGTGTTTTATTATTAACTAATAGAAATTATCCATTTTCGACTTTGAGTCAAATTTAGTCATTACTATCTTTGTTCTTTTTTTTTCTATTTATATTTTCTAAATTAATGTCTAACATAAAAAATAAAAATTGTATTTGACAAAAACTCAAGTGCTCAACTAGTCAACCTTGTTTAAGTCAAAGTCAACGGTTTTCTACAAACCACTTCTGTTAACCATATAAATATAAACACCGACACACATACATTTAAGCTGTTGTTTAAAAATTCTACAAATTAAATTAATTTTCTTAAAAACATGGCAATTACCCGTATCATTTTTAGCCACTTTAAACTTTTCTTGAGAATATAAATCCAAAAAATGAAACAACAATAAAATTAGATTAACATAAAAAATGAAAAAAAAAAAATCCTGCTTAAGTCAACCACCAAATGTCATAAGTTTCTTACACTGAACATAAATATACGAAAATTTAAAAGATTATCACAGTGTTATACGTCTAGAAATGACTCATATTCATCAGTGATTATTCATCTCTTGGGGACAATAAGTCAATAAAGAGACGATATAATCGGTTTTAAATGAATGTCAGTGGAGTAAAAATGTACGTAAGTGAATAGTTGAAGGACCAAATCTATAACATACTCAAACATTACTGGAGATGTATGGGGGTGGAACCCTCCAATTTGACGCAGTAGCAAATGCATTTTGCAATTAAATATAACAACGACAAACAAACACTCGCACAAATTAAACAAGACCCACCCTTCTCCAGTTCTCCTCCTCCTTTACTTTCCCCAATCTCAATCCTCTTTCACTCTTCTGTCTTCACAATGGACTCGCCGGATTTCCCCACCGGCAAATCTCCCCGATCACTCCAAGGTCCCCGTCCTGCTCCTCTTCGAGTCCACAAAGATTCCCACAAGATCAGAAAACCGCCGGTGGCTCCACAGTCACACCACCAACAACCGCAACACCAACTAAACCAGCAGCAGCAACACCGGCCACCGGTCATCATCTACACAGTTTCCCCTAAGGTAATCCACACAAACCCAAATGAATTCATGACTTTAGTCCAACGTTTGACCGGCCCATCTGCTTCATCCCCTGTCGGCTCATCTTTCTCCGCTTTTCAAGACGACGGCGGGGCTGTGTCGCCGGCGGCCAGATTCGCATCTATAGAAAAAGCTGCGAAGTCACCGGATGGAAGAAAAGTAACACAGAACGGTGATTTAGGGACGGTGGAAGGACTGGAGATGGGGTATTTCCCCGGAATATTGTCGCCGGCGCCGGGATCATTACCACCGATCCCACCGAATTTTTTCTCACCATTAACAAACGATTTTTTTCATGATTTAAGCCCTGTTATAAATAGCAATAGAAATTTTAGTTACATGGAGGGCAACAATTGGATGCCAAGCCCTACAAATCTTCTATCTTCACATATAATTTCACCCACCACTCCAAACTTGGATCTTTTCCATAGCTTATTTGACTTGTAATATGCGATTTGATTGGTTGATTGATAGGGTTTTAGTTGCCTTTGTTTACCAATGAAAATGGTAGGGGTAGAATTGGAAATTTCCATTACTATTATTTTATTTATTTTTTATTTTTTGGTGGACCATAAAATGAGGTTGGTAACACTTTGCACTTGACTTTTAGCTCTCTTATCTTTATTTCTCCCTCTATTTTTTTAACATGTAAATTGCAATTTTATGCTTTGATTGATAAATGATAACGATCGGTTGCCAATGTTTACCTACGAAAAGGGTAAGGGCACAAATGTAATTACCACAGTAGTTTTTTTTTTAGTTTCTCTCAAAAGTGCAATATTGGTCTTGAGGCATCATAATGTTTATATTTCTATTAAATGTTTTTTAAAAGAAATTTGGTGGTAATAAAGAAAGAACTAAAAATCGGATCACTTGATTTTAGGGGTATCTTTTATATGTACGAGAATATAGAAACGATAAATTTAGGCAAAAATAGCAAATCAGAAAATATTATACGACAATTAAACACACTTCCATCAATACGCTAAAATAATTGTCTATTACCTTTTTACTTTTATTTTTTCCAACAAAGTGCGTTTTGGTACATATTCATTATGGTACGGACATTTAACCCATTAAATTTCATAGAAAATGCTAATTTTGTAAATATGTAAAAGAATAAAAAGATGTTTAAGTCATTTTGCCTTTATAAAAAATGGAAAAGAAAATTGTAGATATCTATGTTTGTTACTTTGAATTTGCAGTTATTTAATTTTTTTTCTTCGGATCCATGAAAAAACAATATATAAGATATTTTTTTGAACAGGAGAAAAATAGCATGATAGTCACCAAATTTATATCAAAATTATAATTTGACAATGTGTTTTTTGTCGTCTCAAAGTTGACACTGTGTTTTTCATTTTGTTATAATTTTGATCACTTTACCAGTAAATTTGGTTGTCATGATGACTTGTCAATTTTGATAATGTGACATTCCGTCATGTCATATTGGCGTATCGAAATTGAAAAAAAAAATGTTACAAAATATACTAATTTTTTTTTTCAATTTTGATATTAAGTTTTCATTTTTCTTTTTAATTTTTTTGTTCCAAATCAATCATCATTTTTTTCAATTTTAATAACGTGACATTCCATTTTGTTTTGTTCCAAATCAGACATCATTTTTTCCATTTGAAAACATATAAATAATTTTTTTACATATGAAGCCATATAAGTAGATTTTTCCCATTTAAAAACCATATTTTTTATATAAATACAATGTTTTTTATATTCAAACCATAATGTTATGTATAAATATGTACTGATTATATTATAACCGTATTTTCATGCACTATTTGGTTATGTGCCGCTGGTGTAACATGATGACAGAGTAACACAGAACCATATTTAGGATAATCCACGAAAACTTAATTTGGATTTTATGCAAAATCTAAAATTCAAAAATCATGAATATATACAACGAATAATCACTTGGTAATTAAAGCGACCATCGGACCATCGTGTTTCCTAGATCAAATTCTAGTTTAGATGATTTGAGAGGGGTCCATCATTTGGATGGTGCTAGTGCATACCACAATCTTGTTGAGACTAGTACTCCTGAGGTTAATAACCAGACTGGGCACAAGTACCTCCTGATGATGAGACTTTTCCTAATTCATCTTCATTGCCCAAGGTAAGTAGTCAATCTAATCTTAATCCTTCTGAAAGTCAGTTTATAGGGGTCACACGATTTGGTCATGATGTACGCATGCTAGTTAAGTTTAGTGATTATGTTATAGAGGGAAGACATAAATAAAGTCCATTAACTAATCTTTCTTAAATAATAAGAATAGGTGTTTTGTGACTAATATTAATAAAACATGTGAACCAAAAACTTATAATGAAGCTGTTATGATCCTAACTGGATCAAAGCTATAAATGAAAAAAAATGGAGGCCCTATATAGAAATTACACTTGGGATATAACATATTTTCCTAAAAATAGAAAACCTATTGGGTATATTGGGTATAGATGGATATATAAAATAAAATACAAAGCTAATGGTGAGATTAAAAGATATAAAGCAAGATTAAATGCAAAATGTTATAATTAAGAGGAAGGCATTGACTATGATGATACTTTTTTCCTGTAGCCAAAATTGTTACTGTTAGAATCATAATTAATTTAGTTGTTAATAATTTTTAGGGTCTTTTTCAGCTTGATATTAACAATGCTTTTCTTGTATGTTGATTTAGTTGAAGATGTATATATGTGTGTTTACATGAGAGATATTGCTCTAAAAATTATACTAGATTATGTAAACTTGTTAAATCATTGTATGTTAAGCAAACCACTAGGAAATGAAATGAGAAGTTGTGTTCTTTTCTTTCCAATTTTGGTTTTAATCAAAGTATAAATAACTACTCTTTATTTGTTAGGTCTAAGAATGATACTATTCTTGTGTTACTTGTATATGTTGATGACATCATTTTGACACTTAATTGAATATAACCGATAGTCCTCACTCTAACAAGTTCACATATGAAAAAAAAAACTAAACCTGAAATCCCTAACTGGGCTTAGCAATGATGAAGAAACAAGATCACTCTTGCCGTACAAGTTTCAGGCGACCACTGTTAGATTGTTGGCCGACGGCTTGAACTTTGAACTAATAATTGAGAAAAAAATTAGGAGTTGGTATTGTCTTCGTCCTATATTAATAGTCTATGTTTTATTTTTTGTTTGTCCAAAGTAATCCACTTTTAAAAATAAATATCATTTTTTACCAAAGTGTTCATCATTATTAGTTAAACTATCATCGAATTAAATGCAACTACCATGGAATTAAATATAACAAAATGATATAATTGTCATTTCATTTAATAAAATTAGTAGCAATTAATGTTTCCTTAATATATATGTTTTTTCTGCATAATAATTTTGCGAGTTACCACCGTAATTTTTACTACACGCTTTTTTTTAGTTTACCATATTATACATTCACAGCACGTCAGCACCTTTAAATAGTTTTACACGTTTTTTAATCGAAAAAGTCTTCCACTAAGTTATAATATAACAAAAAGTTGATAAGAAAACCAACAATACTGTCACGATATATGACAATAAAAACATGAAAAAATAAACCCGTTTCCACATTAGTGTAGCTTTTTGATAAACCAATGATAATTAGGCTAGCGTCTTTTCCATTTGTCATTAAAGATGCCCACTCAATAATATTTGATATTTTGTTGGTTGTTTAATTGAAAATTAATATAAAAGTCATTAGGTTTATATAAAAATTTCAATTTGATGTTATGTTTCCTTTTATTTTAAATTTGACATTGTGTTTTTTAAATTGTTATAATTCTGACCACTTAATCGGTAAATTCGGTTTCATGCTAATATGACATGTCAATTTTGACGATGACACATGCTGACATGACATAAATTGTTTTTTTTCATAAAAGATACAAAATTTTCATTTTTTTAATATTGACACAATTTTATTTTATTTTTCAAATTTGACACATCATTTTTCTTTTTTCAAATCGAACTTCATTTTTTTCATTTTTTTTAATGTTGACAATTTTCCATTTAGAATTGTATAAATGTGTTTTTTTTACATTGGAAACCATATAAATATATGATTTTCATTTAAAAATCATATTTCTGTACAAGTACAATATTTTTTTTTACATTCAAACTGTAATTTATGTATAAATATGTATTAGTTATATTATAATCGTATTTTATATTAAATACACAACTTTAAAATAAGTTTGGATGAATGGAGTGCACAATTAGATGGGAACACAAGAGTCTGGGGGTCGCTTTAATTACCAAATGATTGTTTATTGTATATATTCATGATTTTTGAATTTAGATTTTGCATAAAACCCAAATTAAGTTTTCGTGGATTATCCCAAATATGGTTCCGTGTTACTTTGTCATCATGTCACGCCAACGCAATATAACCAAATAGTGCATGAAAAATACAGTTATAATATAATCAATACATATTTATACATAACATTATGGTTTGAATATAAAAAAGTTTGTATTTATATAAAAAAATATGGTTTTTTATTGGGAAAAATCTAATTATATGGTTTCAAATGGAAAAAAAAATGATTTCCGATTTGGAACAAAACAAATTGGAATGTCACATTATCAAAATTGAAAAAAAAAATTGATGATTGATTTGGAGAAAAAAATTGAAAAAAAAAATGAAAACTTAGTGTCAAAATTTTTAAAAAAAAATAGTGTCTTTTGTAACATTTTTTTCCAGTTTTGACACGTCAGTATGACATGCAGAATGTCACATCATCAAAAACTGACACGTTATCATGGCACGTCACCAGACAACCGAATTTACTGGTCAAGTGGTCAAAATATTAACAAATTGGAAAACACTTATCGACTTTGTGAATGTTACGGGTCACCCCGTAGTCTTACAACACTTCCACAATTGTCTACCCCATCCCATGGTCTTGCCAACTATCCACGAGAATACTTAGCCAAGAATCAATACGAACCGAAACTCCAATCTGTTCATCCCACAACAGGCATTCGGGTCGTGCTTCGAACCTCAAAGCCTTCATCAGACAAGAACATGCAGAAAGGTCCTAATACAACCCTCAACATTAGCCTAGCCACGAACCCAAAATGCTCCATTTTGATGCTTCACGTCTTTGAACAAGATAGTCCGAACCTTCCCCCTTTGCCTCCATGATTATAACCGATCAATGAACATTTCTCATTGCATAAACATCGGTTCATACCACAATCAAAACTTGCTATCCACCCATCCTTGGTTATAATATTCCACGTTGACCCGCACTTGGAAATATTTCCATTAATCCCAAACGATTCTCCCCCACTTGGAATCTGCTATGATCTAACAACTTCATAATCATTAGAATTTCCTTGTCATCCCAAAATGTCACCCATTTGATCCTTGACACCCGCTCCTGCCATTACCGGTCACAAGGGAAACATCAAGAGGT